CTGCCTGTCCGTGAGGCCAATGGGCACAGCCACCCCGTGGCCCCGGGCCGCCCCCACCCGCCCGGGACAGGCACACTCACTCCCCACCGCTGACGCGCTTTCCACCCCGTTATCTCTTCTCTCTTTCTTTCTTTCTTTCTTTCTTTCTTTCTTTCTCTTTCTTTCTTTCTTTCTTTCTTTCTTTCTTTCTTTCTTTCTTTCTTTCTTTCTTTCTTTCTTTCTTTCTTTCTTTCTTTCTTTCTTTCTTTCTTATTCTTTCTTTCTTTCTCTCTCTTTTTCTTTCTTTCTCTCTTTCTTTCTCTCTTTCTCTCTTTCTTTCTCTCTCTTTTTCTTTCTTTCTTTCTCTCTTTCTTTCTCTCTTTCTCTTTCTTTCTTTCTTTCTTTCTTTTTCTTTCTTTCTTTCTTTCTTTCTTTCTTTCTTTCTCTCTCTCTCTTTCTCTTTCTTTCTCTTTCTTTCTTTCTCTTTCTTTCTTTCTCTCTTTCTTTTCTCTCTTTCTTTCTTTCTTTCTCTCTTTCTTTCTTTCTTTCTTTCTTTCTTTCTTTCTTTCTTTCTTTCTTTCTCTCTCTCTCTCTTTCTTTCTTTCTTTCTTTCTTTCTTTCTTTCTTTCTCTCTCTCTCTCTCTTCTTTCTTTCTTTCTTTCTTTCTTTCTTTCTTTCTTTCTTTCTTTCTTTCTTTCTCTCTTTCTTTCTCTCTTTCTTTCTTTCTTTCTTTCTTTCTCTTTCTTTCTTTCTCTCTCTCAGAGAGAGAGAGAGAGAGAGAGAGAGAGAGAGAGAGAGAGAGAGAGAGAGAGAGAGAAACACTTATGGTGAGCACCGAGCCCGCAACCCAGGACCTCCTGGTTCCTAGGTTGATGCTCACCCACTGAGCCGCACAAGCCGGGCTCCGTGTGGTTTAACCCTCCCCCCCAGGGTTTGTGTTATTTCTTATCTCTTTACAGAGAGGGTGAGGGACAGGGACCGGGTTACCTCCCCCCTGGACCTCCTCTGGGGATGGAACTGGGGCGGCGGGTATGGGAGGGTCCCACCCCGTGTTTCCCCCGTTTCCCCGGGGCTGGCTCCTGCATCCGAGGGCAGACCCACCAGCCCGCGGGGCACAACCCACAATATTTAAAAAATAGACTTTATTGATTTTTTACAGAGAGGAACGGAGAGAGAGTTAGAAACATCGATGAGAGAGAATCTCGCAGCCTCCTGCACGCCCCCCACTGGGGATGTGCCCGCCACCAAGGTGCATGCCCTTGACCGGAATCGAACCCGGGACCCTTCAGTCCGCAGGCTGACGCTCTATCCACTGAGCCACATCCCACATTGTATTTCCCTTCCAGCCTCCTCTCCGCACCAACTTCAGAGAAATAAGAGCGAGGCGTTTGGGATCCGCAGGTTCCGAACACGTTTATTGGCTAAAAAGACCCACAGGTCCCAGCGACACCACCGGGACCGGACCGGACCGAACCGAACTGCACCCACGGGGGAGCCGGCTTCCCGCGGGCCTGGCTCACTCCGGGGGGCGCGCGGGGGCTCCTCCTTCTGCTGCCGCCACGGGGCGCGCGCGGGGCCACAGGGGCGCGCGCGCGCAGGGGGCCCGGGTCCGGGACCCCGAGCTCAGGGCTTCCCTGTCCCCCTCCCCGCCCCCCGACTCCAACCCGGGCCCCGGGGCCCGGGACCCCGAGCTCAGGGCTTCCTCATCCCCTGACTCCAACCCAGGACCCCGGCCCAGGGACCCCAGCCCCGCGGGGACGGGGGCGCAGGGGCAGATGGCCAGCCAGCTCTCCCCGTCCTCCGAGGAACCCGCCGGCCCCAGGAAGGGGCGCAGCGGCTCGGCGGCGGGGACGCCGGGGAACGTGAACACATGGGACCCGTCGGCCACGTGGTAGAAGGACAGGGTCCCCACGTCCACGTCCAGGAAGAGGCCCAGGCGGCGCAGGCGCGGCTGCACCAGGAGCCCCCGCGGGTGCTGGGTGCCCGCCACGAACCTGCCGCCGCTGCAGATCACGGTCCAGAAGCCCCGCTCGTCGGACAGGACCACGTCGCCCTGCCGGGAGGCCGCCTCGCGGCACAGGCCCACGCTCCACGTGCGGCTGCCCGCCACGTCCACCTCCCAGTAGTGGCGGCCCGAGGTGAAGCGGGGGGCGCCCAGGACGCAGGGGGAGTCGCTGAACCTCCCCGGGTGGGCGGGGCGCTCCTGGGAGTCACCCCCGATGCGGACCCGCCGCAGGTCCTCCGAGATGACCAGGTAGTCGTGGGCGGTGTCCAGGTCCAAGGTCACGTCCACTGCGGAGAGAGGGAGGATGGAGTCAGCAGGTGCGCCCCCTTCCTGGCCATGCCTCCCCCTTTCCCGTCTTCCCCGGGCATTTTCCTGGGGAGACTTCCCTGGCCCCAGATTTGATGGAATTTGTATCTATGGGGGGAATGATGATAGGTATTCCCTTGACACTAAGTGATTCCATGGTTTGATTAAGGACTTTTCTTTTCTCCTTTAAAATATACATATTAGAGGCCCGGGGAATGAATTCGTGCATGGGTGGGGTCCGGCCAGCCTGGCCAGGGGGAGGGGACATGGGCGGTTGGCCGGCCTGCCTGCTGGTTGAACTCCTGGTGAAGGGGACAATTTGCATATTAGGCTTTTATTTTATAGGATATGCACTTGAGTGGTCCGATTATTATGCGTTCAGAGATCATAATTGGCCACTCAGTGTGTGTGTGTGTGTGTGTGTGTGTGTGTGTATATATATATATATATATATATATATATATATATATATATATATATATAATTGATTTCAGAGAGGAAGGGAAAGGGAGAGGGAGAGAGAGAAACGTCAATGATGAGAGAGAATCATGGATGGGCTGCCTCCTGCACACCCCCTACAGGGGATGGAGCCTGCAACCCAGGCATGTGCCCTGACCGGGAATTGAACTGTGAATCCTGATTCATGGGTCAATGCTCAACCACTGAGCCACACGGGCTGTGCTAAAAAACTTTTTTAAAAATTGATTTCAGAGAGGAAGGGAAAAGGAGAGAGAGGAAGAAACATCCACGAGAATCACTGCCTCCTGCACGCCCCCTACTGGGGGACCTAGCCAACAGCCTGAGAATCCGCCCTGACTGGCAATCAAACCGTGAACCGGTTCATAGGCCAATGCCCAACCGCTGACCCAGGCCCATGGGTGGGACTTCTTTTCTCCTTAGTAAGGAATAACAGGAAAAATAGACCTCAAAATTATCATACAGCCCGGCAGGGGGCCACTGATCAATGACTCTCTCATCATTGATGTTTCTTTCCTTTCCGCTCTGAAATCAATAATATATATGTTATTATTGATTATATATGTATGTATATATGTATATATATTTAAATGTTATATGTATATATATTTAAAAATGTTTGAGATTTATTTTTCATTGGAATCAAACTTGGGTACTGAAGGCTCCTCAAGCCGAAGCTCTTTCCACTGAGCCAAACCGGCTATTACATGTCCACTGTAATTTATTTTATTTTATTTCTTTTCCCACTGTAATTTAAAAGTAAATAGAAAAAACACTCAAGATATTTCTTGCCCTGGCTGGGGTGGCTCAGTGGATAAAGCGTCAGCCTGCGGACTGAAGGGTCTCAGGTTCAATTCCTGTCAAGGGCACATACATGCCCAGATTGGAGGCTCCATCCCCAGTGGGTGGTGTGCAGGAGGCAGCAAATCCAAGATTCTCTCTTATCACTGATATTTCTCTCTCTTCCTCTCTGAAATCAATAAAAGTATTTTTTTTTAATTTTTTCTTAAAAACACATGAACAATAACAAGGCTCGGGTAGAGCTGCTCTCAGTGGTACAGGATCTGTAACATCCAGTCGAGGCAAAAGCAGGTTTCTCCCTGTGCCCGTCTCCAGTGGGCAAGGAAATATTGAGGAGCCCAGGTGTTGATGGACTCAGGGTTCTATTTGCCTAAAAACCTGGTTCCAATGAAAAAATAAATTTCAAACATTTTAAAATATTTCTTTTTATTGATGTCAGAGAGGAAGGGAGAGGAAGAGAGAGCTAGGAACACCCATGATGAGAAAGAATCACGGATCAGCTGCCTCCTGCACGCCCCACCCTGGGGATCGAGCCTGCATGTGTCCAGGCCTGTGCCCTGACCGGGAATCGAACTGTGACCTCCTGGTTCCTAGGTCAACTCTCAGGCTAGAGACACCGGGAAAGAAAGATCCTTCCAGGGGCCGCCGGCCGCCGGGGGAGGCCCAGAGGTCTCACCCTGGAACTTTCGGATCCGGGGGTCCATCTGCAGGAGGGATGTCAGCTGGGGCTCCATTTCCTTGATCTTGGATGCCAGGCTGCACAGCACCCGGTGGGGCTTGATGTCCTCCTTCCGAGAGACCCTGGAGCAGTTGCTGCACAGCAGCCCCTCCCCGTCCGGCGCCGTGGGCAGGGCGGGCAGGCAGCGGCGGCAGCAGGTAAAGCTGCACCGAAGCTTCACCGGGTCCTCAAAGTACCTGAGGCAGATGGAGCAGCTGGCAGCTTTCTTAAACTGCTGGGCCATGGCCGCCTGGAGGGGGGCGGGAGGGGGAGCAGGCACGGTGAGCTCTCACGAGGCAGGGGGACTCCTGGGTCCCGGGATGCCTCCTCTTTAAAAAAAAAAAATAAAAAAATAAAACATTATAAACTGATGAACCAAAAGATAGATATAGAGACAGTAAAGCAACAAGCAGACTGTCAAATTACAGCAGGGAGGGGAGGAAGATCTGGGGGAGATAATAGATCAACCGAAGGACTTGTATACATGCATATAAGTACAACCAATGGACACAAAACTCTGGGGAGGGAGGGTATGTATGCGAGGGAGGAAGGGGGGCAAAAAAATCAATAAAATATATTAAAAATAAATTTTATATATATATATATATATATATATATATATATATATATATATATATATATATATTTAGCTATAACCGGTTTGGCTAAGTGGATAGAGCGTGAAAGGTCCCAGGTTCGATTCCGGTCAAGGGCATGTACGTTGGTTGCGGGCACATCCCCAGTGGGGGGTATGCAAGAGGCAGCTGATCGATGATTCTCTCATCCATGTTTCTCTCTATCCCTCTCTCTTCCTCTCTGTAAAAAAATCAATAAAATATATTTTAAAAAAATAAAAATATATATTGTATTGATATATAGTATTGATTTTTACAGAGAGGAAGAGAGAGGGATAGAGAGTTAGAAACATCGATGAGAGATCATCATTGATCAGTTGCCTCCTGCACACCTCCTACTGGGGATGTGCCCGCAACCAAGATACATGCCCTTGACCGGAATCAAACCTGGGACCCTTCAGTCCGCAGGCCGACGCTCTATCCACAGCCACACCGGTTTCGGCTATTTTATTGGTTTTTCACAGGTAGTGTAGGGAGCGGTTATAGGGTTAAGCCTCCCACTGACCTGCTGGCAAAGTCACAAACAAGTCCCAGCTTGGATGGTGCAGTACTCTAAGCATAATTAAGCTTCATCTTGTGATAAGTACAATCAATGGACATAAAACTCTGGGGAGGGAGGGTATCTATGGGAGGGGGGCAATAAAAAATAAAACAAAAATAAAACAAAGGAAGACATGTTTTCACAAACCTAAACAAACAAACAAACAAACAAATAAATAAACAAACTTGATCTTCTGACTGCTCCCTAGATCCTTCCTGGGTAGCTAGTGGGCTGTGGGAGGGGCAGCAAGTGCTACCAAACCCAGTGAAACCCACAAGAACATTGTAAATTGCCTTGTTTGTCCCTGATTATAAAGCTTCAGCTTTGTGGTCTGGATCTGTTCTGTGGCCTCAGCCAGGCACAGAAGATCCACCTAGACCCAGCTATTCTCTGTGTCTGTCTTTTCTTCATCCTTCACTGGCCCTCCCTCAGGCTCGCCGAACCCTTGGCTGTGCTGGTGCAGCACAGATAGAGAGGAACATCGATGAGAGAGAAACATCCATCTGCTGTCCTCCTGCACACCCCCCTACTGGGGACGTGCCCCCAACCAAGTTCATGCCCTTGACTGGATTCGAAACCTGGGACCCTTGAGTCCGCAGGCCAACGCTCTATCCATGGAGCCACACCGGTCATGGCCGCCTCCTCTTTATAGGATAGACATTTGCAACCTCCTGGGTGAGGAGGATGCGGCCTACGGACCAATAGAAAGGACTCCAAGCCCTGAACTCGCCAGGTGCAGCCTGCTGGTTGGAAAGAATGCCCCCCCCCCCCACACACACTCATTGATTTCCTGTTGGAAGGCCCTGGGCTTCCTGTCAGGGGAAAGTTCGCGCTTCCTTTTCCCTTAGGCTTCCGCGCCTCCCCATGTGTTGGGAATCGAACCCGAGCCCCTTGGGAGGGAGGGCAGGCAGGCAGCCACTCTAACCACTAAGCCAACCCAGCTGGACCTGGTCGCTTTCCTGATCCTTTGCTTATGGGGCTGTTAGAACATTAAGTGTTTACAACAGCCGAAACCGGTATGGCTCAATGGATAGAGCGTCGGCTTGGGGATTGAAGGGACCCGGGTTCGATTCCGGTCAAGGGCATGGACCTTAGTTGCGGGCATATCCCCAGTGGGGGGTGTGCAAGAGGCAGCTGATTGATGACTCTCTCTCATCGATGTTTCTAACTATCTCTCTCTCTTCCTCTCTGTACAAAATCAATAAAATATATTTAAAAGAAAAAAGAATTTACAACGGCATTTGGGGGTCCCCTGGTAGATCCAGTTGGGCAGTGCTGGCTGAGACCCCAAAACCCTCCGCGTCTCCCCGCTGCGCTCCCTGCTCCCACCCCCCATGGATGGAGCAGAAACCCACCGTGGACCCCCAGAGGCGGAGGAAGTCTGGGGAGTGGGGGAGACACGCCACCCACCACTTCCGAGTCTGCCAGGCTCGGATCCAATTCTTTAACTTAATTGAATTGTATTTAATTATTTAAAATATATTTTATTGATTTCAGAGAGGAAAGGAGACGGGGAGAGAGAGAGAAACATCCATGATGAGAGAGAATCACCAATCGGCCGCCTCCCGCCCGCCCCCCATTGGCGATCAAGCCCGCAACCCTGGCATATGGCCTTGACTGGAATCGAACCGGGGATCCTTCAGTCCGCAGGCCGACGCTCTATCCACGGAACCAAACCAGCCAGGGCTGGAATTCAGTTCTTACTCCCACCTGGTCCTGAGCCCGAGTCCCACCAACCGCTAGCATCAGAGGCCAGAGTCCCTCCCTCCGTGTCTCCTCCTCCCACCCTCCCCCGCCCACACCTGCCCTGGAGACAGCACCTGCTGCATCCATAGGTCCCTCCCTTCCCAAGACCTCGCGTGGACATTTGAAAGTGAAACGGAACCCCTCACCTCTCAGGCGTTAAGGTTACTGGCCTCTGGCTCCTTCGCTTGAGGGCGCGGCTGTGGCGTGAGGCTTTATTGGGCAGGTAGCTCCTCCCACCACGCTCCCCTCCTGTGGGTCACACCTCATCCCCCTCAGAGGCTGGTGCAAAGGGTGGGATTTTCTCTGGCCGCCGGGAGATGACGGGGGACAAAGGAAGAGAGTGTCCACGGAAGTTATTTTAAACCCAACAGCAACAGAAAGTGGCCGTGCCTTCATTCGACATTAGATCTTAAATGTTATGCCTGTCAATCCATTAGACTGAGGATGGAAATGAAAAAAAAAACAAAAACCAAACCGTCCTCATTATCCATCCTTCCGAAATGGCCTGGCTGGTGTCGCTCAGTGGATAGAGCCTCGGCCTGCGGACTGAAGGGCCCCGGGTTCGATTCCGGGCAAGGGCACATGCCCGGGTTGTGGGCTGGATCCCCAGTGGGGGGCGTGCAGGAGGCAGCCGATCCATGATTCTCTCTCATCGTTGATGTTTCGATCTCTCGCTCCCTCTTCCTTCCTCTCTGAAATAAATAAAAACATCTAAAAAAAAAAAAAATAGAGTTGTCAAGTATTCAGATAAGGGTAGTGAGGTCCCTGTAAGCAAGCATGATGGTTGGATAGTGTGAATGATGGACTTGAAGTAGTTAACGAAAAAAAAACCGTTGAAACCTGTAAAGAATTTTTGTGAGTTTAATTGAGCCAAACTGTCGACATACGCCGGGAAGCAGAACCTCAACGGATTGAGATAATGCTCCGGAGAATGGCGGGTTAGGTTTCTATATTTATACATTGCAATCAAAGGAAAGGGAATTACATGAAATCCATTGGTGATAGATTAGGGAGGTGGGACAGAGCGAAGCGGGGGAAACCTCTGGGTTAGGGTAAAAGGTGAAATGATGGACGTGAGCTCCTTTCACAGAGATGGATACAGGCTACTCTAACGCAATTCACAGCGGACAATGAACTTGATAACAATAACAATGAGGGAATGTTTTGAGGCCATTTGTTGTGCCCTGAGGGTCCGGGGTAAAAAGGAAGTTACAAGTTACTCAGACATCTCACAGATAGGTTATCTCAGATGCTGGAAGGCAGAGGGAGAGGGGCTCAGTAAAAGATCAAAGTTGATCTTTGTCAGGTGAAATATCTGGGACGTGACTACCTACTATAACCTGTTAGATACCGTATTTTCCGGCGTATAAGACGACGTTTGAAACGAAAAAAAAAAAGCCTGCTCAGATTGGCCAGAGTCAGAGAGGCAGTCTATTAATAAAAGAACTGGTGTTGCCTCGGAAGTGGGGGGTAGTCTTATACAGCGAATGTAGGCCTAAACCTGTGTTTTAACTGTAAAAATTAGGGGGGGTCGTCTTATACCCCGGAAAATACGGTATTTAATTTCCAAACCATCTCTTGTGGTTATCTTAGGTCTCTGGGTTTGCAAGACTGCCACGCAGGCCTCCCCTGAGCTTGTCAGGTCAGCATGTGGCTCTTTTCTTTCACAAAGCGACATAATGATTAGAGATGATGCATCCTGGTGTGCGGCCTTCTCCAGAAACCGGGCCCTGGGTGGGCCCTGAGCCACGCGGGTCATGTTAAGGGATCCCACAGAAGGGTCACTTCCTCCCAATAAACGATGCCCATCCTCCAGGACAAGTGAGTGTTGGCCACGGCTCGTTTTGTGCAGGACCCGTGCAGTGACTGGGTGGAGCTGTGAAGGCGTGAAGCTGCAGGTTGTCCATGGAAACGCAGGGCCTGTTGCCGTGTGATGCGTATTAGGGAGAGATTTCCTTGGATGGAGAAGCAGCGGTAGCATCAGCACAAGGAAGGCACAGGCCCCGCATCTGAGGTCTCCGGTGCTTGGATACGTCACCGAGTATCCACTCCACCCCTGGCTTTGGGTGCTGTGATCGCTCCATGGGTTGCTGCCGTTTGTGTGCAGAGCATGAGCATCAGGGTTAGATGCTCTATCTATGTCTGGGGGCACCTCTGCCATGTTCCTGCCTCTGCCCCTTGCGTGCTGAAGGAGCATTCCCTTTCCCGGTGTGGCTTGTTTATTCCAAATGCCTGAATGCACCTGTAACTTTGAAAAGAAATCTCAGTGCCATGTGTGGACCCGTCCCTGGTGGACGGCTGTTAGGGGGCCCTTTAGTTTGT